GTATTTTAAATATTTGTCAGTAAAACCTTTCCTTGCCATTGATTTTCTGTGGGTTTATTTCTAATCCCTTCCTATAATTTTTAGGAATATTTCGTAAGTCATATGATTTGTTGATAAGTGTAGAACAGGTTCCATCACCCAAACATTTATTACAATTTGTGCAGAGAACCTCTAAATAGCATATTGTATACAACAGAATGATTGTGAGTGAGTCAAGCAGTTGATAATAAAATATTATGAAACAAACTCTTTCTGGCCAACGTTCAATTTCAAGTAGGTGTACTTTAATATTTTAATACACACACAACACACACACACAAACACATATTTATATTATATATATATATATATATATGTGTGTGTGTGTGTGTGTGTGTGTGTGTGTGTATGTGTGTGTGTGTGTGTGTGTGTGTGTGTGTGTGTGTGTGTTGTGTGTGTTGGTCAGTGTATGTTTGTGTATTAAAGTACAGCTATTTTCTGGGGTTTGTGTGTTTACTAGTGAATTTTGCTGTCCATGAGAGAATTAGAAAGCGTTAAAACCTCAGCCGCATCAGTAATCATAATTTTTCCAATTTCATAAATCGGTAGCAGCAAATGCATTCCTGTATTGAACTTTGTATCCGTCGCAAATTAAATACAATATTACGAATATGTATTCTATAATGAAGCAACATTCATATAATATTTCATTACTTCTGTAAGGTGACCATGGATAAAAGCATGCGAATCCTCGTAACATCAGGTTTTTTTATTTATTAGATTGGCTGGCGTCATTTTGAATGAGATTCCGCTTTCGAACCTCTTTTGACTTACGAGTTACTACTGATTGCTTATCTCTCAAGCTTAAAAAAATAAATGTACACAAATCAAATGAGGATGAAGATGATATAAGAAGTTTCTGATTGTGTGTCTGTATGTTAGTGTTTGTTTTTTGCTCATGCTGGTTCCCTCTGTAGGCTGATGTGTGGTTATTTGTTATTTCTCAACACATACACACACGTTAACAGTTTTACTTTAAGAATCGTTTAAAAAAATACATTTATAAATTTCAAAGATCCTAAATTAATTAGTCACTGAACCTGAAATTAAAAAAACATTATGAAAAAAACATAGAAAAACTGGTGTTCTTTAGTGTTTTTCAGATTTTCAACTAATACCTACTGTGATTATTAGCAGCACCTTGTTTTAAAACTTAACTATCGTCTCTTTCTGACTTCTCTTCCTATTAGTTGGTTTTTATTTTTATTAGTTCTGCCCGCAAATAAATGGCTCCTGTAGATTTGAAAACTCACAGAGAAGAAATTTTGAAAATTCATAAAGAAGTTTCTGATCCTAAAAGCCCAACAAATTGGTTAATTAATAATTAAATCAATTGTTTTTTTGCTTCATCTTCAATTCTTCATCCTCATTTGATTTGCTATGATTTCTTTAGTACCGGTTCATCATTTCTTCCGCTTTTGGTCATATATAAAATATCAATAAAGATACTCATATATCAGTTGTTAAGAAGCTTTAAACTTTAATTGGATCTCTAATAATTTCAGTAGATATATCTTTCTATGATTTAAAAATATTTAGATGAGGAATAGAAATAGTAAATAAAATAGAAAAGGGCATATCCAGCATACCCAATACCCATTGTAAAAGATAGTAAGAGAAAATAATATATAGAATGACAACAAAGAATAAATAATGGAGTAAGAATGTTTAAGAAGCATGAGACAATGGGAAATGAAATGATTATTTAAAAAAAATGAATAATTAATTAATTAATTGACTGGTTGGTGACTTAGTTAATTAATTGACTAGTTGATGACTTAGTAAATAAGTTGAGTTATTGTTAAAGGAAAAGAATGGACAAAGTTAAACAAATGACAAATATTTATTGAAGGTTAATATAAGGTATCTTGTGATGAAGGTCTTATCCTGATAAGTTGAATAAGTGATTGAGTGAAAACTAAAGGTAAAAAATTGATGATTTTGGACTCCAAATTTATTTAATTATATAAGAAAAGTGTTTGAAGTAAAGTCTGAAAAATTAATATAATAGTGATGTATTTTTTTAATAAAGAGAAATTCAAATAGAAATTTAGAAATATGGTTAGTTAGTTAGTAGTAATCTAAAGTTATGAAAGTGAAATAAGGATTATTTTATCAAAAAATAAAAGGATAAATATTTTTGTATAAAATCTTAAAGCTAGGTAAAACCTATTAAATTATAATAATTAAAAAAATGGATAAAAATGACAGTTTTTTAATATTAATTTTTAATATAATAATGATAATCTCATTTTATCATCATAACTAACATGGTAACCAAATTTTATTCACACTGTAGTAAATCAGAATATTAATGACATTTCGACTTTTAGTTTGCTGAGAATTAAATAAAACCTTATCACATCACCTTAGGGCATTATTTGGTTATGATGGAAAGTCAGATGTGTTGATTGTGGTTGGTAAAGGAGGTTAGATTTGATTTGTTTAATTTTTTATTAACTGATTCTACAGTGATTTTTTAACAATGGATAATATTTTTTATCACATTCAAGATGGAGGGATTCAAGAGTTCACAGATGAGTTGAACTCTGGTCGAATGATGTATGGCTATTTGAAAGTCATTGACCCCAACACCGATCTGCCTAAATTTGTTTTTATTAATTGGGTTTGTCAGATTATGATTTCTTGCTCAAAATCAATCTCTGTTTTCTTTTTTTAAAGTTAACATTTTTAAAAAAATTTAACCAAATGTTTTAAAAATATTGTTCATATGGTTTTTGAATGGAAATAACAGAATAAAAAATTTTGTTATAAATTTTTTTTGTATAAATTCTATTAAAGCAAGGGGAAGGGGTGCCAGAATTAAGAAAAGGTGCCTGCACTAGCCACGTCAGGGAAGTTTCAAACTTACTTAAGGTTCAGTCTTCCGTTTTTTATTGATTAAGAACTTACGTTTAGTGTAGTAAAAATAATTTGGTGTTTCTATTCAAATCAATTTGTCAATGTATTTGGTAAACATTTTTGCATTTTTTACAGATATTAAGATAATAAGGCATTAAAAGTTCATGAGATTATCATTAGATGTTTATTTAAGTTCATATTTTGAAGTTATTTATCCAACTTCAAGTATTTAAAATGTGTGCTTTGTTTTATAGTCAGCATTGAAATTCTAGGGATTATTCTTTTTAGAAATTTTTTAACATTTTTCAGAAATATGCTGTTTAAATGAATGTAGCAATAGTGCCACTCCCATCAACACTCAACACTTGACTGTCAAATCAAACTTTACTGTAACTGTTCCCTATTTGAACTCACATTTAATGTTAATGTTCACATTTTTTTGCCACATGTCATTCATTTGTCACAATCCTATTTAACATCACATAAACAGCCACACAAGCATATAATGAATAACGTTCCTTATGTATATGTAGGGAGCCCATGTCTCAATAAATGCCAGAACAGAAGATGACATAGATGAAGAGACCATCAAGGTTGTTTTTTGCATATTCAACATTTCCAATGTCATACCTTCTTCAGAATTTCATTGGAAGCATTTATATTTTGTTTGTTACTGTACATTATTCGTTTGTTTTGTTTTAAATTTGTTTTTAAAACTGCTTAAACTATAATAATAACAGTTGCAAAGTTATAAAAATAGTATAGAAAATATAGTTAATATATCAACATTAATTATAATTAGCAGCTGTAGAATTTAGATTTTTTTAGATTTTATATTTTTAAAGTTTTAAATTGAATTTTTTATGAAGCGAATGGATTGTGAATAAATAAATGTTTGTGGGCAACTATTAATTATTTCCTTCTTTTAACATGTCTGTTAATTAATTTGAATGTAGATGAAAGTTTCAAAAGCATCTGGTGCCAACTACAGCTTCCACAAAGAACAAAAGAAAGATGTTGCTCCCATTGCTCCAGTGGTTTGTAGAAGTTTTTTCTTTATTGTGTAAATTTTTGATCAGATTCATGTTTAGACTATTTTTATGCCAAAGCAGTATTTTTTATATTATTTCATACAATTTCAAACTTGTCACAAAGCTCTCAAAGTCAAGAAATTTTTACACTTTTACTAGTTTTTACAGCCAGGTGTCAATAACTTCAATGTTTATTAAAAATAATTATGAATTAGGGCTCAGTCTATCAGAAGATCAAACCGCAAGTTGACATCAAACCTACTTTGAATTCAAAATTCTGGGAAGATCTGGCTGTCAGTTTACTTTTGTTCAATTGTTTGTTTATTATCACTTGAATATTTTAATTTCCTTTGTTCTTAATTTCTGTATTCATGTATATGTATGTATATATGTATATATATATATATATATATATATATATATATATATATATGCAAAAATGATCAATAATAATTAACTAAATAAAATTTGTGTGCACTCATGCGTGTATGTGCCTGTGTGTGTGTGTGTTTCAATGACCCTTATTCTTTTATTTTTAGAGATTTTTAAAGACAATTTATAATTTCGTGAAGCAAGATGAACAGAACACACTTTATGCTAACATTATATAGATTCTAAAAAACTATATAACATTATATAAATTCTAACAAATGGATAATATGAAGTTAACAAAACTTTTAATTTTTGCAAAACCAGAAAGAGGAGTCCCAGAGAAAGGAAAATGAGAAGAAGATGCAGGCAGCAGAAAGAGAGAAGATTAACAAGGAGACCAAGGAGAGAGAGGTAGGTGTCATCTTATTTTTGCTCTTCTCTGTATTGCTATTGGTTTGGTAGTCATGTTTTTGCTGGCAGCAGTATTGGTGTTGTTATTGCTGTTGTTATTGTTGGTGCTAACAATGTTGTCAATAACGATTTGTTGTTAGTGATGTTTGGTGGGGATAGTTTTATTGATGACATCAGTGTTGGTTTTGGTGTTGAGAGTAGGGTTATATTTGGTTGTTTCGATTACTGCTTATTTGATGCTGTTGTAATGTTTTTTAACGCCATAAAGTTGCTCATGATGTTAATGCTGCAGTGCGGTTCATTACACAACTTGATCTAATTGTTACACATCATTTAAACTTTCCCAATTCAAATAAGATGCAAAGTTCAAAGTTGAGAGAGCAACAGGAGGCTGAACGGTTGAAGAAAATAAAAGAAGGACAACACACCAACACCACCACATCCGCGGCTGATGACACACAAAAAGTAAATTCATGTTTTGTTGTTCTATAATTGTGATGATGCTGGTGAATTTTTTTGCTTCTTACTTAAATGCGGTTCATTTATCGAAGCAAATAATAACTTAAAAATTATTCACAATCATACAACTCTTCAATATAAATAATAATTTAAAAATTATTCACAATTATACAACTCTTCAATATAAAGAAAAAAATTTTTACGTTTGATGCAGTTTTCTATTGGCAAGATAAAAGCTTCATTGTTTGAAGTTGAGAAGAAGCAGGAACCGCCGAAACAGCAGCCACAGCCGCCCAGACAAAAATTACAAATGCCTAAAATGCCAAAGCAAGAAGATGAAGAGCCAAAGAAACCAGTGCAGCAAACCATTCCATCGCCTGTCAAAATTCCAGCACCTCCATTGCAACAACCACAAAATGATGATGATGATGAGGAAGAGGAAAAGAGAGAAGAATCAATTTATGACGACACAATCGCCCATGCTGATTCCACAAAAAACACAACAGTAACCCAGAATGTGGTGAACGAGGATATATATGATGATACTGTGCCTCCACGCAATGAATCAGTCAGTCAGCAAGAAGAAAATGGTGAAGAGATATACGACGACACTGATGCCATGCACACAACATCAACCAGTCATGGAGTTGAGGAGGAGTATTATGATGACGCTGGTCCATGTACTGGTCAGTATCAGATTTGTTGTTTGTTTTGTTGTCTGTTGTATCTTCTTTCTCTTCTACATCTCTCTCTACTGTTGCTTGCATGTTTGTGTGTGGTTTTTGTACTTTTTTTATTCTTGGCTGTGATTTGCTTGCAATTTTTGGGTTCTAATTATTATTGATGTTTGTTAACAACCGTCATTATTTACAAATAAAAATATTGTTATATTTTTGACTGTTCAATTTTTCAAACAGTATTTTCAAACACCTTTCAATAATAATTTCTTACACATTGGTCATCAATATGACTTATTTTAATGCTTATTATTGAAATACATATGAAGATTTATTAATAATTAATTTTCGTCCATGCAACCAGATGGGGATTTGAAATGTAGGGCCACATTTGATTACCAAGCAGGTGAGATTTGCATTATTCATTTTGTAATCTATTGTTAATTTTCATTTTATTTACGTAGCAGATATGTTGATTCTCTCTAGCTAACGAAACGTAATCATATCCTGCCATCATTTTTTATAAATGTCTTTCATTAAAAACATCTTCTATCAATTTATATTTCTTAAAAAATCGTTGAATGTGCCTCTCAATGAACTGAGATAATCGTAGAATCAGTCGTCTGGGTTACATTATTAAATGCAGTTTCTTGAAAACCACGTATCGCCAACTTATTAAAATTGAAACACATTCAGCTGACAGTGACGAGATAAGTTTCGATCCTGGAGACATCATAACGTCAGTGAAGATGATTGACGAGGGTTGGTGGTACGGCAAGAATTCCAGAGGAGAGTGTGGCATGTTTCCAGCTAATTACGTTGAGCTCATCAATTGAAACAATGCTTTTACTTGTAATTTCGTCAGTAACAGCGACGTTTGCGTAAAATCCACACTTGACTCCCTTCACTTTTTCACTGAATATTTTTACCGTCAACGTTCAGCTCTTGTTGCAAGGACTAAATATTTTGAGAATTTGTTAATATTTTATGACGAAACATTTTTGTTTTTTTCATCATATTCATGGTCCCTGACTTAATTCCCATCGTACGTTCGTTACATTAGCCTACTTGATTGTAGTTTGTTACTCGTATTTCGCTTCATTCCTACCTTATTTTACATCGCAAATAAAGAACTTCTTTTTAACCTCTGACCATTACGTTGTTTCTCATAGTTCGGAGCCACTGTGTACATGCACAACTGAACAGTGCAAACTGCACACCAACGCCTGCTGCCATACTCTGCATAGAAAACTTTCTAATACAATATAGGTCAATGAATTTTAACGAAACTTTTTTATCGATTGATTTTGAAGGTTTTTTTTGGTTGAATGTCTCCTTTTTTAATTTCGTATGAAGCTGACCTTGAAAATTTATTTTTTAAATGTACCACACGCTAAGACATTGCAATTGAATTTATATTTGTACATTATAGATTTGGATTTGTAATTTAGACATTTTACGCTCATACTGATTATTTTTCTACATAAATATTTTGACGGTCGTTTTACAATTCATCTCAATACTCTTGTCTGCGCTGTAATAATTCAGGGAAATTTATTCCGATATTGTATAATTATATTTTAAATTTCATGCAAACTATGTATAAACCGGTTTCACGTTCATGTGTTTTATTTGTCATGCCATTCAGCTCATTACGTTGAAGACTTGCACTTTAATAAGATGAGATAAAAATTCGCCAAAGCAAAATACAAAAAACTTGATTGGCACAAAATTGTATGACGAGATAAAATAAAAATAAATTCATAAATTACAAGTTAGTAATAGAAGCAGTTGGTTTCAAAAACACTTCTCATAACTATTTTTTTGTCATCACTCCGACCGAAGGTGAAAATGTTACAATAACGTGGAAACAATAGTGCTAATAAACATTATTAAATATACAATTAACAACGTCAGGTATAAATATTGATGCAACTTTAATATGTATTTGGTCAGGCTTCGAAAATTATATATATAAATAATATATGAATTTTAAACAGTAATTGGTCAGAATGAAATTGTGTGTTGATGCACAGCTTAGAATACATAATCCGTTTGTTACTCAATATTTACACTGAATGGAATCGGCGTCACGACCTCTTAAGAAAGCTGGAGTGATAATCGCCGTGGGACCTCTGAACGGTGTGCATGTTCCTCTTGATGCTGTTCTCCACTGACCCCGTACTCGCCATCATCATCATCAACGGTCTGCAATTTTAATCAGGGTATGTTAGCATTTCATAATTTATAGGTCGAGAGAGGTATAATAAAATGACCAAAGAAATTAATGACGTGCCAACAAAAGTTCGCAGGAGGTGCATTTTTAAATGAATATTTTGAATGTTAAACGTCGTCACTAACTCGATGAATCTTTTTTTCTTAAGTCCGTCCTTATTGTCGTCGTCTTCAACATCGTTGGCGTCTTCTTTGCTGTCTTCTTCTCTATACCTCTTCACATTTGATACTCTCTCTTCATCTCTCTCCTTTGCATTCAACATCATCTGCTTTCTCATTTCTTCCTTCTCTTCTTCTGTCATTTTCCTACAAAGGATTGAATGGTGAGACAAAATATCAAACATCATCGTTTAATCCATTAAGATTAGGGATGCACCGGATTCAGGTTTTTCAAATCCGGCCGGGGTTTTTCAAATCTGGTCGGATTTAAAATTCAAAAACCGGCCGGAGCCGGATTTTAGTTACCATTTTACATACGTTAGAAAAAATACTCACATTTACGGTTATCTACATGTTGAACATCAAAAAATAACACCTAGCAAATAGTTAATTAATTCAAATATATGAATAAGCTGTGTGATACGCCAAATTCTGTACACAAAGATCAGCTTATAATTTATGCATAACCCATGTTATAGCATAAAGAAAATTGTCCAGCTCATCTCATAATTAGTGATGTTGTTATTATGTGTCATGTATGCACGTGCACAAATTCTTTTACACAAAGATCAGCTTATAATGTATGCATAACTCATGTTATAGCTCAAAGAAAATTGTCCAGCTCACCTCACAATTAGTGATGTTGTTATTGTGTCATGTATGCCTAGCCTAACTTTAACATACCATGTTCTTAAATTAAGCGCTTATGTATCTTTATGTATATATATTATGTAGCTATATGATCCGTCATATACAATTATATAGTATAAACACGTGCACAAGTTCTTTTACACAAAGATCAGCTCATAATTTATGCATAACCCATGTTATAGCTCATTTCACAATTAGTGATGTTGTTATTATGTGTCATGTATGCTTAGCTTTTAACTTATTGACGTAAAATTAATTGATTTCAATAAAATTTTTTTTTCTATTTATAACATTTTTAAATGTCGATAGACGCTTAAATCCGGCCACCAAATCCGGCCGGGGCCGGATTTGATAAAAAAGCCGGATTTTGGCCGGAGCCGAACTTCGGTGCAATTAAGATATTTAATTCGCTAATGAATCCAATTTGATTCACAAGTCTAACTTTGAAAAGAAGTACCGAACCTTTTAACTTTGTTCCTGACGGGCGGTGGGATGCCTTTCTTTTTCAGGTCGATAATGCTGTAATCTACTTTATTTGATGTTGTCCTACTGTCTATGTTGTCTAATTTTACCTAGATGTTTCAGTGTTATTGAGAAAATAAAAATTATATTACGTGTGTATTAATAAAAAAATTGCGTAAGAAATAATATTTAATTCTGCTAAAATAATGAACTTAATAAATAATAATGAATAATACTGACTTCAAGACCGAATCTGTTGTTTCTTTCCTTTTGTTTCCTCCTCGCCTCTTCATCAGTATCAACGTCACTGTCATCATCATCATCGTGATCGTCCCTATGTCTCTTCTTCTTGTGCTTTTTATTTCTGTCACCACTGTCATAATGTTTTTTAAGTTTGGTCAGTTTTTCATGCTGTTTCCCTTTATGTTTTTTCCTTTTGTGGCTAACCTCATCATCCTCATCACCATCATCATCACAACTTTTACGTTTCTTTTTGTTCATTGCAGCAGCTCTGTCGCCTGCATATCTAGCAGCATCATCACCTTCACTACAACCATCATCGTCATTTCGTTTACAATGCCGCTTGCTTGTCACAGTCATCTTCTTCTGTCGCAGTACAGCCATGTACCTGGCCAGCAACTCTTCACCTTCAGATGAACTTTCGGAACTGCCTCCTCTTTTCCTCTTCTTCTTCTTCTTCTTCACTTTTTTCTTCACTTCTTTTTCAGTGGATTTTGTGTTTATCTTTAGAAGATAAAATTGTGAAAATTTCAATAGTAATAAATATCATTATTTTTAATTTGATGTAAATTATATAATTTAATTAATCATCAAAGTGAATTAAAAGAAATTGAAAACATGATTAAGAGAATATTTCACTACAATAAATACCATGGCTTGAAGTTTTTTCATTTTTAGTGGATTCTCCAGGATCCTCTTCTTGGCTTCTTCTTCTTTTAATCTTTATAAGTGAAACAATTTTACTGATTAAAACAACATCACATAAAAATTATTTTCAACATCTGAAATATTCATAAGGCAACAATGACAAATTTCCTCACTTAGAAATATCACTAAAATGAAATTTGAAATGGAACATGGGACAAACCTAATGATATATAAAGGGTCTTCCTTCATTTTCAGCTGCATATCCTGCTGTGATCGTCGAGCGATGATTTCGTTGAACAGCGCACCGGGTGCATTTTCAGACTGAGGTGCTTCAAGTTCGTGAGTGATTGCCTTATCGATACGTCGTCCCAGTAAATATTCTTCATTGTCAACGTTGTGCTCCTTGTATATCCATTCAATCTTCTTGCTTGGTTCACTGCTAGAAACATATAATAAAAAATTTTATTGAGAATTTTTATGACTCAGCTATAAAGTTTTACTTTTTGGAGACAATTCAAAAACATTTTGCAATCACACATTTAAAAAATCAAATGTGGCTTAATAATCATCTATTTGATTAAATATTAAATAATGATAGTTTCAAATCGAACAAAATAAAATCCTATCTTTATCTTACATTATCAAGCTTTCATAAATTACTTGATTAATAAGTTTAAAAATGTGCTTGTTAAATTTAAAAAAATATTTAAATATTGAATATTTAATTAATTTTGAGTATTTAATATTTAATTAATTTAATTTATTATTGGTATACTAACTAAAAAAATTTAAGTCCAAGTACTTAGTACAAATATTAGGTAAAACGTGAGATAGGTATTCCCATGGTATGGTCCATGTTTACAAACAATAATAATTTACTTTTAATAAATTATCTAGCGCTTGATTATTTATTTATATCAAATTGAAAATAATTTAATTAGGTAAGTTTTTTAGATCATTACTTGTCAAATAGTTGAAATAATGAACATTAAATAAAAATAGTTAAAATATGAGTAAATTTCTGTTTTAATAACAATCAATGTCTTATTGAGTGGTTAAAAGGGTTATGGTTAGGGCCTCCCTTTTTAACAAAATTTTCAATCATTTCACAAATATGGAGTGGTTAAAATTTTCAATCATTTATGAAATGATTAAATAAAATTTTGTTAAAAATGGAGGCCCTAACTCTAACCCTGTTAATCACTCCATAAACTTACCTAAGAATTAACTTGTATTAAATTACTTACCTAAGAATTTGAGTCCAAGTACTTAGTACAAATGTTAAATAAGATTATAAATAAAGTGAACAAAGGTAGTTTGTTAGGATTAGTAAATAAAATAAATAATAAAATGACCAAGGGAACCTACTTTGCTGATTCTTTCAAGACTTCCAGCAGTTTCTTCCGTTCATCTGTGCCTATTTCTTTGAATTTTTTTACAAGTTGTTTATCCATCAAACAACTTGAATGATAAATTCAAATACAAAATTATTAATAATAATAAGTGATCGTCAACGCAGAGATATTCGTAAAAGTTTATATACAAAAATCACTAAAACCTACTGTAACGATATATGCGGAAAAGTTTTGCTTATTTATATAAAGATCCGGACAAAACAGCAAAGAAAAACCAAAACTTATAATATCTTGTAAAATGAAACCAAAGATATTTTTTTATTGCATTGATTAATTCTTTTTGAGATTTTATGACGTCATGATTTGAAAATGAATCATTGTTAATTTTTATTAATAAATACGTCCAATAAAAAACTTAATTTTTGTATTCTTTATCAGATGTCAAAATGTTGGACCATTATCAATATACAAAAATTTCGGTTGCGTTTTGATGATTGAGAGTGTTAGTAACAAGACACCTGCTTGTCTTCTGCTAAAATGTTGGAAAAATTATTATCATTAGATACAATCAAACAAGATCATCGTAATAAATTAATTTATTTATATCAATGTAACATACACCCCGTAGACATGCAAGCGTTTGGACGGGTGTCTAACAAATAAGTTTATTTATATATCTTATTAACAGGTTATTCATTTGGATTTCGGATTGTCAGTTCATTAAATTAAAGAAAACAGGAACATACATATATATTTAACATAGCAAGAACATGAAATAGTCATCACCGTCATTATCACGCTATTACTATCATTAACTACATTACAATTCTCTGAGGTCATTCGCGCATAACATGGATCGCACGTGTTGGCGAAGGTGGGAATATCTTTGCGTTCGAACTCAGTCACTGCTACAGCAAGACTAGATGCCATCACTATTTTACCACTTCGCCATCCATATATGATGTGATTGTTTTGTTCTGACGAAGATTGATGTCTGGGAATTGAAAAAAATGGATAAATGGTGCGGCAAAATTAACTGCAGAAATAAGCATATTCACTGAGGGAATCCTGCTTCGAATGAAATCAAGAAAGGCACCATGGAACAAAATCCAGCATCACTAGCAAGATACTGAGTAAAGATTGACGGTCAAAGTACAAAACCCATTCAAAGAAAAGAACACGTACAAAGCAATGAAACAACGTTTTGAAACAACAATCAATCAATCTTCGTTTTGCGTCCAAAGACCCGGTTTCCCGAGGTAGGACGTTGTTTTCTTTGCCATCAACTTTTTGCGCCAAATTAGACGATCAGTTGTATCCATTTCATTTAAATTTAAAGCTTTCATGTCTTGCTCGATTGTTTGCGACCAGGACTTCATTGGACGGCCTTTGGGACGTGTGCCAAGTACTTCAACATCTGCAAGAGAAGTTATGGCACTGTTTCCACTTCGTTTGACATGACCAAACCACCGCAGACGGTGTTGCCGGCATTCGTCCTTTATATCATCTAAACCAGCACGACGCAGGATTTCGGTAGATTTGATGTGGTCCTTCAGACTAATTCGTTGCAACCATCGGAGCATTTTCATGTCGGTTCGTTGAAGTTGTTGTTCCAGTTTGGTTGTCATTGGCCATGTTTCTGCACCATATAACAACACCGGTCCAACAACGATGAGAAAAAGAGAATATGGAAAGCACTAGAAAGGATGTAATGGACGTGAATGCGTGGTTGTGTCTGCTGCCTAGCCATTGTCGCATGTGCATTAGTAAAAAACTTTTAGTGACATCAATTAGAGTTTCGCTCTAAAACTGATCTCATACCTAAACAATTTAACAATAAAATTGATTTTACACAAACAAGAAAAGAAGATGAGAACGTTTTATTGAGGGCGGAATGACTAATTCAAAAAAACTTCAATGCGATGATCATAAAAATAGACATCTCTTTTTATTATCACCAAGATAAACAGCTGGCGTATGAGATGAAAAAAATATATGAAAAATAAAAATTGTATAAGTAGTTGGTAAAATAAAATGATGACAACAAATGCAATTTTGCTGGAAAAATGTACTTACATTCTAGGCACATTTCAACAAAACGGTAATTTACAATATAATCCTCCAATATATATCCAACTGACTTAGAAATAATAATAAATTTAACAATGAAACCAAATAAATTGTAATTTTTAATAAACAACAAGACGATCTACCAGTTATAAAAGATATGCACAAGGCGTATAATAAATATTTTATATCATACAAAAGGAACATATGGTAGTGGAAGAGATGTTTCATCGAGAAATCCAGAAAAATATGCCGTCATTCAGTTTCATTTTTACTGAATCTCAATACAAAAATGTTATTTCTAGAAATGTGATTAACAGACAAAATGTAACTTTACATCATTAATAAATTATATAGATACACCCAAACAGAGTTCATTAAAAATGTTTAAACTGTTACTAAAATATTTTTAAAGATATGAAATTTCTAACCATGAAGTCAGTTATTGCCACAAAAATGATAATTTACGTTTGCAAAAAGTAATATAAGCATTAATTAATTAATTAATTAATCGCAAAATTGATACATAGGTACTATTGTTTTTTTTTAGAGAAAAGGATTTTATGGAAAACTAAAAACTGAATGATGAATGGAGAAAATTATCTGTTCGATGAAATTGGAATCAATGTCAAATTTGGACAACATATGAAAGAGGCATTTTGACAAATAAAAATTTTTTTTATAAAATTTTACTAAAACAATATGACAAAAAATTAATTTATATCACATGGGCTCACCTGAAACTATATCTACAAGTGCTTTCCACTTCATGAACACAATTTGCAATGAAAATTTTTATTCAATTGTTCAAACATGAAAAATTAAAAAAATATTTGTTTTTGTTGATTGTATTATTTTATTTGTACGTTGTTTATCATATTATTTATTATGATACATGTTGTTTTTTCAAAAAGAATATGATTTACAAGAGCAAACTGATATGGAAGTGAACGATATTAAAATACAATCAATACATGATTTTTAAAAATTATTGATGATCACATGATGATATGGATTGCAAATTACAAAATTAATAAAAAAATATTATTACATCGTCATCAATTATAGAATAATGAGAAAATGAATCAAAATATATTAATCACAATGAATGAATGAATGTAATAAACGACTTCAACAACAGAAGAACAAACAAGAAAACAAGGAATAGATAAATAGCTGAAAAATAATAAACTCAACAGTTTGAATGAACACTGTTCCTGTTCATTGTATTCCTCAAGGATTGTAGTTGAGCTTGGCTCAACAGTACATTTTCTTTCAACTCGTTACAATGAATTAAATAATTATTCTTATTAGTGTAATATAGCACTAAATCATTGAGTTGTTGTTCGGTCAAACTGCTTCTGGATAACGAAAGAAGATGCTCAAGTCGTTGTTTAACATTTTCTTTGATCACAAGAGCTTCCTTCAGCTTCATCTTTAGGCCCTCTAATTTGGTGTGATGGGTCGCCTGCAAAGAAATAAAACGTCTGTCTAACAAATGCTAATGTTCAATCATGGTATGCTCAAAAACATAAATTCTGAAAAGAAATTTCGATAAAAAACTTCCAACCTTTTCTTTATCAGTTGAGTTATGAGGCAAGCCAGTGATGTTGTTTTGGATCTTCATGATCATTCCACAGAGTTTGAACAACAACTTCATCACGTTATCCAGCTCTTTATCCAGAGAAGCAAACTTATCCACAAGTTTACCCTCCAAGAATTGGGAAAGGTTTGTAAATATCTGCAAGTTATCATTGAATATTTACAATTTGCTAAATGTGATTAGAAAAACCTGATGTATAAAGAGCAAATTATGCAAATATTCTGAAGAAATGATAGTTCAATTCTGAGCAAGTGAAGCACACGAAATATTAGTTATATAATATTTCTCAATTTCCATGCCGTTCTAAACATACTCATGATAACTAGTCATCCTTCTAATCATCTTTCATCATCATGAAATTGATGTCATTCAACTAACCTGCGAGCCTAATTCTTCATTGTTTTTAAGTTTGCTTTCATAATTTATTTTCTCAAAAGTCAAAACTTCAAGTTTCTTCACCAATCTATCTTCCAGCTGCATCTTGAAAATAAATTTTTGAAATTTATTCAATATTGAGATTATTTAAAGACATCATATCAGACATAATTCATTTATATTACATAACAAACGCAAGCTTCATCATCACACTTAAATATGTTGAATATTAAGAGTATATATAAGATAAAATACAATGAACAGTTTTATATAAAATAAAACTTAACAACTGCATAGTCATAAAAAACACAAAAAAATGGAAAAACCTTGCAAAATTCAATATTGGAATTGGCAAAATTGAAATTGTTATCAATTTTCTTGTTGTTATTGAAAACGCCATCTTCATCCCCGCCAGAACGATACTCAGCCGGCAAGAAAACATCTCCATTTTGCAAATATCTAACAACTGGTTGATATCTCATTTTGAGTACACCAGACAAATGTTCATCACAGTCTTTCAACTTGTCAGCAGCATAAGTTATCAAGATGTTGCAATCCTCCTCCTCTGTAAATAATTTTCGTCTGACAAACTTATTCTCTGAGTGAGACCTTTGCAATGGATTATTCATTTCAACCTCTGTATTATACAGCGTGGTGGTAGGCGCAAACTTAGTTGCAAAGTTAGTAACCACTGGTGAATATATTTCATTGCTTACAAATTTTTCCCCATCATGTTTCAAAGAGGTGTATGTAAGATTGTTGTAATCACTTTTAAGCTCCTTTCCACATTGAGATAGGCGTAGTTGACTTGTCCTTGGTGTTGATGTCGTTTCGGGTGTTGCTTTTGGTTTAGGTGTTAACTGTGGTGGAGAACAAGTTGGAAGTGGAGGTGGTGTGATGAGAAGAGATGAATCTAGCATGCTTGTGTTGAGTTTATTTGGTGGAGTATTTGTTATGTGTGACTCTGGCGATTCAGAAAAACTAAGTTTGCTGATATTTTGATTTTTTTCATTGAAATTTTGAAAATCGTTTTGAGTTGAAAGACTGTCAGCGCTCTTATTGATGACAAAAGCTTTATGGGTAACGATATTTGTAAATTTAATTTTGTTACTATCATTAACGAGGTCAGGCGTAACTAAACATGCCGGCGCAGTCTGATCACCAGCAGAATTATCATTTTCAAGTAAGTCACTATTGGTGGTAGGTGTTTTGGAACCTGAATTGAAAGGAGAATTGAAAGATGGAACAGAGAAGTTAATTGGTCGATACTTCTTGGTGAATATGGATGCACTGGAAAATGCAGACGGTGATCGGTTGTATGACGCTAGAGAGATGGAAGATGGAGAAGATGAGGAAGGTGGGATTGATGATAACGACGTTTCAGACACATTAGATGATAAAGATTTAGCTTGGTGAATTGCATTTTTATGTTCAGTTGTAACAGGAGAATGTTCAAACCATTGTTCAGACTGACTGAAGTTAGTTGACAGTAAGCTTGTTTGCATTTTAACTGAACTGTTTAATGGTGAGATGCTTTTATTATCATTACTGAGTAATTTATTGCCGCTACTGCTGCATTGTAAGGCCAGGATTTTTGCTTGTATGTTCTTCCCTATGTGACTATTTTCATTGATTTTCACATTATAACTTGTGTTTATATTCATTGAATCTGAACCAGAAGTGATGTTTTGTTTATGACCAGATTGTTTATAATTTATGTTTGATGTTATCTGATCTGATGATGAATAGGAATGTTGAGGAATGTTGATGTTCTTTCCAGGATGTGGCTCGACATAACTTCTTACATTACAATCCTTAGAAAACATTGACTGACTGACTGAACTACTTTTCTCATCCCAACTTTTTTGAAGTTTTATAAGTGATGGGTCATTATTTCTAATGGAAAATTGTGGTTCATTAATTGTTCTTGGTTCAATATTCAGTTGACAACTAGTGCTTTTTGATAGATTGCGATGTGTCAGTTGCTTTGGGAAATCATATCTCTGCATCTCATTTGTGTAACTTTCATCCAATTCACATTTCTTATTGTAACATGCCCTGTCCATATCAGAAACATTATTTACAGAGATGTACTTCATGCCGCACTTTGATAACTTGTCAAGGCTTATCAATTTTTTAGGCATAACATTTTTTTGTTGACATAAATTTTGACAGAATTCAGCAACGTTCAAATTTTGCTGTGATGAAGAAGCTTCGGTGTCATTATACTGTAAACTTTCTTGAGACTTGGAAGCAACCGGGTTATCGCCATTATTTGAAACATTTGCATCAATTTGGCTATTGGAGTTATACAACTCAATGTAAAAATTTGAGCTATAATTGTTATGGCACAAATTATTTTTGTAATACGATTTAGCAGCAATGTCTTGAGGGTGATATGACAAAACATTATCATTAGTATCAACAAGTGTGTCACTGACTTGAAAATCTTTAGCAGTGTTCGTTTTTACTGCTGGATGATTGGTCACTTGCTCATTATAACCGGATTCATGTTTCTGTTTATTTGAAGTGTACTTATCAAAATGTCTTTCATGAACTTGATTATTAATATCATGCACAGCAAAACTGCCCCTGGCGACAAAGTTATCAACCAAGTTAGAATGGCTAAAATTGCATCCTGAGTCACGAGAAACTTGATTGAAATTAGCATTCTGGCAACTGGCATCTATGTTCATAAAATGCTGCCCATTATAATTATCAGCTGAACAATTTGTAACACATCCAAATTTATTGAGTAGTATGACATTGTGCAAAGCAATATTATTCTCACCACGGTTAATATCTGACATAACATATTGCTTGCTATCAACATTTGAGTAGAAACCTGAACTTTTCCTAGTAGAGATCAAATTAGAACTTTTAGAAAAAGAGAGCCTCCTGGTTTGTTTTCTTATTTCTTCTGAATAATCTTCAAACTTTAATGTTGAATTTTCATTGGAAACTCCATCTGCACAAGCTTGCATGCTCGTCAAATTGTTGACAATACTTGAATTGTCACTATATCTTGAATCTGGTGGAATTCTGTTTAAATGATAAATTTTTCTTCAATGTTATAAACCATTAACACCATTTCAAATAATAACTATTGTATTTCAGTTTTATATGATGGTTGATCTAACTGAAAATATAAAAAAAAATGGTATGGCAGAAACAATGCAACTATATAACATCCAATTACATGAAATCAAATAGGACAACATACTTAGCTGTATCCCCATGAATAATTTTCTGAAAAAGTTTGAAAATATTAAGATAACAGTATATTTATGTGACAAAAATATGAATATAAAACACAAATGCAAACCTTATTTCTAAATATATTATTGTCTACCAATGTGCTTTCTTCATCCTGAAATTCTGAATAAGACAACTTTTGATCAACATTCATTGGCAGAGAAGCTGATTTCATGTATTCTCTCTTCTTATTCTTCAAATTAATTTCATCCTCTTCTTGATTAACAATAACATCATCATCATTTGTTTTATCTTCTTGATCAGTACACTCATTAAAACACTTCAGACTTTTATCCACTGATTCATAATCATCGTGTATTCCAAATGCCTTCCTCATTGACATTTGAGCTTTTCTTTGTCTAACAAAAGCTGGTTCTTTTAAGTCACTTTCCACATTGGAAATATTTTCATTATATCCTTTACAATTATAATTACAACTATCGACAATAACAAACTTTTCAGAATTCACATACTCAATGATCTTCTGTGAATTTTTATCAGATTTAAGATCAGAATAGGATATAGACCTACCTGCCTTTTTTAACTGGCTTCTTGAGAGTTCATTATCTAAATAATTTGGATTGACTTCAAAACTGTTGTCACCATCAGCATTTGAAACAGGGTTTTCAATTACAAAGTTTGAATCAGCAGCTAGATTGCTCGAAGATGAACGAACATTATTTTTTGTGCTTTTCTTTGTTCGAAACAAGTTTTTTAATTTAAAAGAATTACTGCTTTCAACTTTTTTTAGCTCATTTAAATCTGTTTTTGGCCTTACATCAACAACTACAACATTTTTTTCAACTTCATCTGACTTCTTTGAACTAGATTTTTTCAATTTTCCAAACGATCTCCTCATGATGATAGAAACAAAATGGTATGTAATTATTAAATTTTATTTTTATTACTAACTAAAAAAACATAACTAATTTCAATTTATTTATTTACATAAAATAATTAAAATTAAACAAATAAATGTAAACTAAATTATTTTATGCTGATATTAAATTAAATTAAAATTAAACAAAATAAATAATTGAATTTTATTTACTACTAATTATTAATAAAATTTTTTATATTAAAAACCCTTAAATTGTTTGATATATAAATAATTAATCAATGATACTTATGAAATATTATTTTTATAATACTTTATAATTTTTTTAATAAATAAGTAATTATTATAAATTTTTTAAAAATTTAAAAAATTAGCAACTATTTCATTTAAATTTCATCTTCTTGGGACTTGGAGTCTTGACATTTTATAATGATTCATTTATTTAACAATGATTCTTTGTATAAATATTTATACATGAAGGAAGTTCAGTGGTTATATATTAGACTTTGATAATTGTAACTTTGAAACAGCCACAAAAAATCATGAGACATTTTAAAACATTTAAAAATGTTTAATTTCTCAGCAATCAAAATGTTTACCAAAAAACCCAGACGACAAATCGAGCCTATTTGAAAAGAGATGTCCCAGTTTTGCCGGCAGTTACTTGTTGTTGGTTGATATATCATTCAAATACATATATATATATCCATGTTCAAATACTTATAATTAATTACACTCACAAACATGCACACACATATATACACGCATTATATAAATATATAGTATTTCTTTATCTCTTTATTTATATATTTGTTAAGATTTTCATCAATAATTGCATTTTTAACAGTCTTAATCCAACATTTATTAAAAAACACGGACTGGAAGCAACATTGTGGACGACCGCGATGATCGACTGGAACATGAACTTAAACATGCTGTGGTTTCCATCAATAACTATATATTTGTAAATATTTGCCATTGTTTGTTATCTTATGCATATGATACGAAGATAAAATTATGAAAACTAGTTAAAATCAAAATTCTTTTTATTAATAAACCTTAACTGGAGCCTGAACATTTTGTAGTGGCATAGTAAGTATCATATATACAGAATAGCAATCATGTTCTTCACATTATAAACATTAATTGAAGAAGAGAATTACGCCGCAGACACAATATAAATTTATAACATTTTAACATTTGGTTTATTAAAATTAATATAATGATAATTATATTATATATGTGATATATATATATATATATATATATATATATATATATAAAGAAAAAGAAAGAAAGAGAGTGAATAGTATTAATAGTATGAAAATATATAAGCAATGGATGCAGGAAGTGTAAAGCATACATCTAATGTAATATATATTATTACGAAAAACGCTTCCTTATGAACGTTTTGATCAGGTGTACTCACGTTCACAATGAAATTTACAGTTAAAATTCGTGAAGTCAGACCATTCAGACAAGGACGTATGAATAAAGAACAAGAAAAGTTCAGCAATGATGTACTTGGCTTTTGTGAAGATTGAAAGATATGAAACAATAACTAAAGTTATCAAACTTAGAAACAGCTTTCAAAGTAACAGTCAATGTTTGCTGAAAATTTAAAAAAAATAGATAATCAAAAAGAGAAAGTGACGAAAATGAGATAAAATACAAACATTTGAGACGACGAAAAGTGCTATCAAAAAACGGCAATTTGAAAAATTATAACAAACGCTAATCAATAACAATACCTATTTTCATTTATGCAAAATTATGTTGCCAATCCGGAAAGAACGAATGTTAAAAAATTTTGAATAATATTTGATTGGACAGCAGGCTGGCTTAAAATTTTGGTGTTATGCTTAAGACTACTGGTAGAAGATGTAAATGTGCGAATAAAAGATGAATTTCTTATTTAAATGATACACTCCACTTTCTGGCAGATTTTGTAAATTTCTGGTCTTCCATTTGCATCAGTTAAATAAAAATTTTAGCTTTTTTAGACAATTTTTTATATTTGATTGTTGTTTATTTGTTCCATCGTTATTTTAGTTTTTTTTACAATTTTTTTGCGTATCACTATCCTCGGCCCTCTTCTATTTATACTCTACACTTCTGAACTACCTCGTATTATTAATAACTTAACTCTGCTGCTCGTCTAGTTGCTCGTGCCCCTTTCTTTTCTCATATATCTCCATATCTTGTTCTCTTGCACTGGCTACCTATAAAATATAGGTATACTTATTTCCTAAGTATTTATCAGATATATTAATTGAACCTAAAGGGCCCGGTTTACTATCGTCTTCTTGTTCTCGCTTTTTCTTAACTCGTGTTAAACACTCTTTTGCCAAATCTGCTTTTGCTTTTTCTGGTCCTTTTCTCTGAAACTCTCTACCTATTTCTCTGACTACTCCATCACTTGCGAAGTTCAGAGCGGATCTCAAGACCCATCTGTTTTCAAAATTCATTGAGGAGCGCTGTTGAACATCGCGAAAATAGCGCTTTATAAGCTAATTGATTGATTGATTAATTGATTGATTGATCACTTAATCGAAAATTTTTTGTTCATTTAATTAGCCGAAAAGACCGACAACAGTCAAAGATTTGACAATTAATTAACCGATAAAAGTCATCGGTCCATCATTAAGATGTTAAAAATAAAAAGTAAATAAACCTGGTTCCACAGATTTTAATTATTTTACTGGTGCAGTAAAGACTTTTTTTATTTTTTTTTAATCGCGACATCAATGGATTTTGAAGAATGCAAATCGTTGGTTTTGATTAGTTTTCATTGGGGTCGATTGAAATTTTAATCTAATATAAGCTTTAATAATTTAATTAAGTTCTTATTAACTAGAGATTTTTAGAGAGGTATAGGAGTCAAAATTTTGAAAATGTTTTTAAATTTTGAAATTTGATGCTGGGGTCAACAAGCTAACTAAATTTGTAGTTGTGTAGCTAAAGTTTTATTTTTGCCTATCAGATCAATTTTTAGTCCATATTCTACAAAAAATTGTGTTCTTCCTGTTTAAAAAATAAAAACTGAGCTTTACTGACTTTTATTATTACCCACAATGGAAAGGGCCATGGCACCCTGACCCATTAGATCCACCACTGGCTATAGATAAAAAAAGAGGATCAGAGTTTTCAACTTGAATTCTTCAAGGATATGTGTGTGTTGTATTTGTATTTTTTATTGGGAATGGAAAGGGTATAAAAATTATAAAATTACTTATAATTATAAGTAAGGTTTATAAGCAGAAACCAACCCTGAGTCCATGATACAATAGGAAAGGAAAGTAGCTAAGGAAGCTAAATTCTTTAAAGGTGCTTGAACTGTACTGGTAGAAATATTAAATTTATCTGTAATACATTTTATAGCAGAAGAGATGGCATGCTCCTAGTTTATAAGACTTTACTTATTTCTCTTTTCATCCTCTGTCCCTCCAGTAGCACATATAATTGAACTAATTGTTATTTCTAAATTGCATATTTCACTCTCATTTCAGCAGCAGCATCAGCAACGAGTCACTCAACCAGAAGTTGTCTGAAATGTGCCAAAAAGATAATAATGACAAGCAATCAAAACTAAGAGAAAACAAAAATCAGGTAAGTATTTCAAAAAAATTTATTTTTTAAATTAGCAAGCATTATCATCATTCTTCTAGGATTTTTCAACTCAGACAAATATTTTGAGTTCGTTTGTGGAGCAGGAAAGGTTAAACACGTTGATAATAAATTTATATCCTGGAAATGAAGGCTACTCAATTATGCTGAGGACTAATGGCGGCTTGCAGGAAGTTGAAACAACAAGATTGGCTTATGAGGTAGTCTTCAAGTTTCGTTCAGCACCCTGTTCTTACTTTTTGCTATCTATCTTTGTCATTCATACTACCTTTATAACTCATTCTATTTATTGTACATTGATAACAATTAACTTTTTGAATTTATTGGCATGAATATTAACGTGATGCATTCTAAAACATTATTCAGGATGACGATATACTGCATTACATTGACAAGGAAACAATTCCACCAGCTCTCATTGATTTGTTTGATAATATCGAGGTCTAGAAATTCTACATAAATATTCATGTCAATTTTTAAGATTATAAATTTACAGAGCTTATTTTGAATTAATTTTTGTATTTGATTTTCAATGTATCTATATTTTGGTTATAATTGTTCTTTTTATTCATATTTGAAAATACTTTAATTAGCTGTCTCAAATGTTTTATGATGAAAAATGTTTATGTGTGTGATCTTGTTGTACATGAGCATTCTGAACTTGACAAATGTGAGATGCCGTGCTAGTCCATTACTTCTGTGATGCATAATGTGTATGTCGAGGTACAGAGCGGAACCTAATATAACATACCGAACATTGTGTCGACAATCTTTTAAGAAATACAATAACATTGCTTTTTTAGGACAATATATTTCACTCTGGATGCATCATAGCAGAAATAAGAGATTACAGACACTTGACTGATAACGTCTTCCACACCAATTATGTTTTACTCAAGCCCAACGATCATGTTAGATTCAATCTCCCATAAACTAACAAACTTACTACATAATATTTCATTAAAATTTGGGACATGCTTCAGTTTTAATTGCTAACAACGCATGCCACACAGAGTCTGGTCTGTGATGTGAATGCACTGGTTGGTAGGAGCAGTGCAAAGTGGTCGTACCAGGATCGTCTGACATTGGAAAGCAAGCTGCTCCTCAAAACTGTCGATCCCCTGTGTCTTGAGGCCTCCCAACAAGTTTTCTTCATCACATCACAAACATCCTCTCAGAAACCTGCCCTCAAATCTAGTACTCTTAAAAAGTGAATCCTCTTTTTTTAATTTTAAACATTAATATTGTAAACCATTATCATCCTCTATGATTTAATTTTTCAATAAACTAATTATACATAGTGAAGAATACAAAAAGTATCTAAAGTATCCAACTGTCCATTCATGACATTTGATAGTTTTAGCTGAAATGTACAATACATGTGAAACAATGCAACTCAACTGTTTCTCTGAAGTTGGATAGTCCCGCAAAGATTTAGTTGTACTTAACAGAACTTTGAACTGCAAAGATGCGTGATGCATTATGCATCTAATCTTTTTTTGATTCTATTTTCATTTATCTTTTGCATTAGAAATTTTACATCTGTTATTGCGTAATTTATGAAAACATTCATTGGAGTTAGCTTAGTTCTGATTAGATATTCAACAAATCATTTTTATATAGATGGTTCAATTTTTCACGAACCATGCTCGTTTGATTCTGAAAGATGTAACTTTTAAAAATTACTATTAAGATGTGTTAAAGTGCATTAGAAAGTGATCAGTCCATGTCGTAAATTTCGTTTTTAAAAACATGAAAAAGAGTGTTGCTTAAGTTAAGAAAATAAACTATTATTCAATAAAGGTTTGGCTCGATTGTGTTTTTCTTTTTCAGAATTTTGCCAGAATGGTATGAACATTTTTGATGTAAAGGGATTTTTTATAGGAATATTTTTTCAATAAATACAGGACTTTGAAAAGATGCTCACAAAAGTATTTAAATAAGCATAAGAAACTGGAATTGATGCTGACCTCCACAACCGCCTCATCATCAGCACCCTCATCTTCGTCGTCTTCATCATCGTCTATCATTAAACTTAGCAACTTTATGATGTCTCATAAATTGAGTCAAGAAAGAAGGAACATCAACCTAAAATTGTCCAAACCTGTATGTATATGTGTGTATGTGTGTTTATTTGCACATGTGTGTGTGCGTGCGTATGTATGCGCGAGTGAGCGTGTGCGCATTTATTGAGTAATATGTAAGTCTTTTTGAAATTGGTTTATAAATTTATATGAGTACAAGTGTGTTTGCGTTTGTAAATATTTAGTTGTCTGGCATAGAAATAAGCAGTTTATGCATTTCTCTTGTTTATTTTTCTTTCTAGTTTGTAACTTGCTGGTTATTATGTTCATTTATTTGTTCATTTGTAGTTTAATACTTGTAAAAGTGCATATGCACGTAAATTATGACTGGTATGTTGAATTCATCTGCAGCCTGTGGATGCCTGGAAGAAATCAGAAGTCGAATTACTGAAACCTAAGGAGCTTTAAGTGAGAATTTTGCTTTTTATTATGGGCATCTGATTACATTTTTGCGCGTCTTTCTGTTTATTTTTGTTGTTTTTTCGGAATTCATCATAGTGTTTAAAGTGTCTTTATGTGTTGGTGTTGTTAATAATTATTAAATAAATACGTCGACTGACCAGTTCATAATTTTCTCCATTATGATGTTTACAAAGTTTATATTCCCCGTTTAAAAACAAATAGATTATATTAGAATGGTGAAAAATAAATTTCCAAGCCCGCAAAGTATGCAAAGATGGCAGATAACCAATAACAACAAGTGGCAACCCGCTGATGTTTCGTGGGGAGTACATATTTGGGGCTGACCGAGGCTTGTGCCAAATTGAAGTCTCCAGACTGAACCATTCAGCAGAGGATCAGGATGAGGATGTACGTTGGTTCCCTTAATGTCGACAGGGACTTCAAAGAGGGAGAATCAAAGGGCAGTACCTGCAGGTTGGCTTCTTGATCATTTGATTGTTTGTTCATTCAGTGCTTTGCCGATTGCTTGCTTGATTAGTTGTATGGTTGGCTGATTGCTTGCTTGGTTGATTGGTTGAATCGTTGGCTGATTGCTTGCTTTCTTGATTGGTTGAATCGTTGGCTGATTGCTTGCTTTCTTGATTGGTTGAATCGTTGGCTGATTGCTTGCTTGGTTGATTGGTTGAATCGTTGGCTGATTGCTTGCTTGGTTGATTGGTTGAATCGTTGGCTGATTGCTTGCTTGGTTGATTGGTTGAATCGTTGGCTGATTGCTTGCTTGGTTGATTGGTTGAATCGTTGGCTGATTGCTTGCTTGGTTGATTGGTTGAATCGTTGGCTGATTGCTTGCTTGGTTGATTGGTTGAATCGTTGGCTGATTGCTTGCTTGGTTGATTGGTTGAATCGTTGGCTGATTGCTTGCTTGGTTGATTGGTTGAATCGTTGGCTGATTGCTTGCTTTCTTGATTGGTTGAGTAATCGGCTGATTGTCCATTAAATTATTGAATAGTTTTTCCAGTCATTTTTGCCTCTCTTATGGATATTTTTTAACATTACCCAGGTTTTTCCTTGGAACCTATACAAATGTCGAAAGGTGACCGTTTCAATTTTTTATATTGTTTCTGGAATTTTACTGATGTTAACTTAAATTTACTTTTCAATGTGAAACAAACACATATGATGGGTGGTCCTCAAAAGTAGATAGCTGAATGTTGTGATTTGTTACCAAATACGGCACCACCTCTTAAGTCATGAAAGTCATGTAGTAAAAAATAATTAGCATGATAAAAAACCTATGAAGGTTTTTATAATGCCGCCAGACCAACATGTTCATGTACAAATGACAGGTACATTAGACAGTTTAGGGAGATATTTACAGAGGAGGGCAGGCGGCAAGTAAAGATCACCCACCAGAGGGCCAACCATCCAGCAACAATATCGTTCACTCAAGTCAACAACAACAACGCAGCAACCGGTAACAACAACAACAACAACAACAATTATTATACAAATAGTAGTTCAGACATTCGAAATAATAACAATGTTGCCAACAACAAGATGTCAAATGTTGTACTTCTTGATCAACAACAATTGCAGCAGCAGCAACAAAAACAACAAATTCAGATTAACGTTTCCCCCGCCAACCAGTCCGACGTTAGAAGCTTTGTTGATTTGTGGTTATTTTTATATTGATTTATCAGATCTCGAGATGGTGTAATGAGTAAAGACGCCTGTTTCTGCATCTTTCACACACATACAGCGTATGATGCATTCATTCTGGCATTCACATACGCTGTGTATATGTATGAGTAATGCACTTAGAAAGAGTGCAATAAGGTTACATCTGCAGAAGTTATTTTAGTATTATTACTATTAATATTTTGAAACTTTTCTCACACCTCATTGACAAATTTTTTGCCCTTGAATAATTTATTAAAACAACCAACGTGTTTATAAATAAGTCATAAATTGATTCTAAAATGATTACTTCGATGCAATAATAAAACGTAGATTCGCGCAAGCATTATGATGATGGCATCAAGCAATACGGTGGCGTCAGCAGTGACAGCCACTACCACAGCATCAACAACGACAATGACAGCAATAACATCTGCCACAACTCAAACAACAGCAGTAGTTAATGTCAATAGCAGCACAAAATTACCTACTGTACAGTTCAACAGCAGCAACCTACTTGCCAACAACGCCATGAATATGAGCAACAGCATAAGTGGTAGTTTGTTGTTGAATGCCTCCTGCAATAACATCATGAGTAACATGAACAACAACATGAACAGCAACAACAACAACAACAATGCTCCTAACTTTGCCAATCCTCCAAACATTGGTCTGTTTTTTTTATTTGCTATTTTTTGATTTGTTATGAAAGTATTGATGGAATGTTTTTGTTAGTACAAAAATTATGCGTGCACACTTCTGCTGATTGTTGGTTGGAATGGTATAGACTAAAGAAGTTTTGAGACGCGGATGATAAAAAAAATTGTGTGGGACTCTCCTCTCTTTTAGAAGCTTGGAAATACCGAAAAATGAATTTCATTCACCCTTTACATGCTCTACCATTATGCAATTAAATTTTCGGCATGTAAAATTCACAGGCAACATTGCTCAGTTAACATTGGCACTTCAGCAGCAGCAACATTTGCAAGTCCAACAACAGCATTTGCAACAACAACAGCAACAACAACAACAATCTCAAATCCAGCATCAACAATTGCAACAAAAGGTGCCATCACAACAGCAGCAACAACAACAGCAACAACAACAGCAGCAGCAACAACAACAACACTTAAATTTGCAAAAGAATTTACTGCCTGCAACCCCAGGTGAGTCCACATTATTCAATGAATTGTTATTAACTCATTGTTTGAGATGTACTAATTTCATTGCATCATCATCTTCCACTCTTCATTTATTTGTTCCTCGTTCATTTCTAATTAACTTTTTTTTTAACTTTGGAAATGATAATGACAATGATAATATGATTTTTTGAGCTGTACCTTTTATGAAACGATCGAGCTTTTATCTAGCTTTTAACTGATGATTTTTCTTATATTTCAATATTCCAATGGCTCAACTAAAGATTTCTGATTATAAATTTAACTAAAAAATCCTCAGTTAAACAAATCACCTTAAGCAGCTTTTATCTAGCATCTTGTGACATTATTTTCCAATGAAAAATTTAATAAAGTTAATGCTTTCTCGTGTGCGATTCCTGTGCTTCAAGTTTGTTTCCAATGAAACAGTCGGTTCTCCTTCAACAACAGTCCTCAACAACAACAGCAACAACAACAACATCAACAACAACAACAGCATCAACAACAACAACAACAGCATCAACATCTTCAACAGCAACAACAACTACACCAACAACAACAACTACACCAACAACAACAACTACACCAGCAACAACACCATCAGCAGCAGCAACAACAGTTACATCAACTGCAACAACATCATTCCCAGCAGCAGCAACATAATCTTCAGCAGCAACAACAAGTAAATCAACAACAACAACAGCAACAACAACAGCAACAACAACAGCAACAACAACATCAACAACAACAACAACAGCTGCTTCAAATGAAAAAAAATGACTTATTTTTCAGTCCTGGTAATGCTGATTGTTAATGATATTTTCATTGAACTGCTTTTATGCATGTTTGTAATTTCATGGATCATAGAATTTTTTTACTGACAATCTTTTGATCTTTCACTTTTACATATATACATACATACTTACATACATACACTTTTACATATTCATATCCATTCATCCAAACTTATCTGAGGTAGCTTATAGTTCGCTTCTTATCAGTCGATAACATTGCTTTGTTACACTAGCCTACAACTTACATGCATGCAACTGATGTTTTCATTCTGCTGCATATCTTTAAAGAGGTTTTGTCTCAAGTTGCATATGTTATGGGATCTTAATAACAAAATACTCTGTAAAAATTCACTATGCCATTTGTCTGAATATGTAAAGAATTTAACTGCATTTGATTTTATTTTGCATTATTTTTTGATGATAAGATGAAGAAAAATTATTGTCCAGTCTTTTTCTTTAGATTTTTGTTTCAACTACTTAAGGCATTGCCAGCAAACAACATATAAACTACTCAAGTAAAAGCAATTTCTCATTTAGATAACAAAGTGCACTATTCTAAGAAGCTATGCCAATAAATGTTGAAGTTGTACTGTCTAGTGTTGAGATTGTACTATATGGTGTTGAGATTGACTACCTAATGTTGTAATTGTACTATCTGGTGTTGAGATTGTACAGCCTATTGTTGAGATTGTACTGTCTAGTGTTGAAATTGTACTATCTGGTGTTGAGATTGTACTAGTTTGTTTTGTTATGGTAGTGTCTTATGTTGAGATTGAGTTTGCACTCTATGATGTTTATTATTTATTTTATGATGTTTATTTTGATTATCATCAAGGGTTTAAGAGATGTTATCTTCATTAATATCCACAATTGAACAATCTGTGTAAATTGTCCACTTTAATATTGATAACAATTTATATAGAAGGTTATTAACTTTTTAAATAGTAGGTCTTATCAATTTGCAACAACTGCTTAGAGAATAATTTTTCATCTTTCGATCTTTGATAGATGCAGTTGGCTCGTCAATGCCGTGGACCACTGACAGTTCATCATTCTTGTCGCCATCTTCATCATCACTGAACCTAATCAACAAGATGCAGAACGCCAACAACAATGCTAACCTACCTTCGTCCCAGGTATGCCATTTAAATTGGGCTTCTATATCACAAATGAGAACAAGTTGTCAGGTTATTATCATGTCATTGACACAAATTTTTTTCGTTAACCTTTTTTAACGTTAAAAATCAATTGAATGTTATTTACTAGATGTCTGGTGGGTCTCGTGTTCCTCGTCTGATTAGTGCATCGAATGTCAACATGAATAAGGGTGGTCTGCTGCAGATATCAACGTGTTTGTTTGTTTGCATGCTTGTTTGAGAGTAACATACAGCTAAAATATTTAGTCACTGTTATGTTATGGGATTGTGATTCATCTATTTTTGTTTTATGTTTTTTTGCTCAATTTAACAAATCATTATCATCACGGTCATATAAAAAGTTTAAAGTTTTTCTTTTGCCTTTGAAATCATAATTTGAGATATTTTTGGCCAAAAATTATCGTTTCCACCTGTTCCCATGTTAATTCAGCGGTGTTGTTTGCTCAATAACAACTAACGATTATTGTTGATTTACTTTCAGCACAACTCGGCAGTCCGCCATTGTTGATGTCTCCCACGTCTCTTATTGAGCACCAATCGAATCTTCTCGGTCATCAACAACCATTCCTGTCTCCCAGATCAGCCATCAGACCCGCAAGCCAGATCAACACTTGTTCGTTTCTCTTCTTATCATTTATATTTGTTTAGTAATCATCGGTTTTTTTTTATTTGTTTGAAATAATTAATTTCAAGTCACTTACGCTTGTTGCAATTATTTGTTTATTTATTTATTGGTAATTTTTTTATGATCGAAAAATAGCTCCGACAGCACTGAACATGAATTCCGGAAATGTCAGCCAGTTGCCTCCACATCTTTTATCTCACCAACAAAAACAGCAATTGATTCAGCAGCAACTTCAACAGCAGCAGCAGCAACAACAACAACTACAACAACAACAGCAACAACAACAATTACAACAACAACAATTGCAGCAACAACAATTACAACAACAACAATTACAACAACAGCACTTGCAGCAGCAACAATTACAGCAACAACAATTAAAGCAGCAACAACTACAGCAACAACAACTTCAATATCAGAGGCAGTTGCACCAGCAAAAAATACATCAAATACAAATGCAGTTGCAGCAACAAAGTCAATTGCAACAACAAAGTCAACAATTAAACATGTCGAATGTCTTGTCACATATGAAAGATATCAATAAAGACAAAAATAATTAATTTTTTAATTTATATTGTTTTTTTTATTTTATGAAATCAATTTGTAATTCGTATTTATTTGTAATATTTAAACGTTTTAAAATGTTGCTTGATTTGGGTTATGGCCGTCTGAACGTGTCGTCCAAAGCTCTTACGTATCATCAACATCACGCACCTGGTGTGTATGATGGGCTGCTAGCTCCTACACGAAAATGTGCTTGCATGTATATGTCGTGCGTCGTGGGTCGGCAACCTTTGTGGGTGGTAAGAAGAGTTTAATGACAACCATATACACAGAATAAACAGTAAGCAAGATGCAACAGCTACAATGGCAAAAGCAGCAAAGGTATAGAAAACTACTAAAAAAATTAACTATTCAAAGAACGAAATTCAAACAGCTACATAACAAAGATTAAGGAAGAAGATTGGAAAGAGTTTCAGATGAAATTCCGCAAGCACGTGAAGTGAACGATAATAATTTGGAGGATGAAAGAGTTGATTTGAAATACTTTGAACGTGAATTTACTACGCTGAAATATTGACGTTCTAATATTATATCCTATACTACGATCTAATGTTTTTAGTCGCGCAAATAGAAAAGCTTGGTCAGTAAATAGAATATATATATATATATATATATATATATAATAGATTGTATATATATAAATATAACATATGTTCCAGTTATAATATATATGTATATATGATTTTGACCATATAATAATTAAACCATAAACTCTGCCGTCGATGCTCTAATCAACTGCACGGATAAAGGTCAATCAGATGCCATGAGGCTGTTGAATCAGCGATGTGAGAGAGTGGGTGGGTGTGTGTGTGCGCTCACTTGTTTGTAGTTTAATTTGTAGCTGAGTTGAGTACTGTAATTTGATAATGTACGGAATTACAGTATCTTTTGGTGAAGATCATTGTCAGACCATTTTCAACTCGTGACTAGATTGATAGCAGGATGTTCGAAATTCGATCCAATTTCAGCTTATAACGAAAATGAGCTACACTGGCTTTGTATGCCAGAAAGAGTAATATTTAAGTTAGCTCTCCTTGTCAGAGATTTACTGGCCGACGATGGTCCAAGTTATTTGTGAAAGCAACTTGAGAACCGAAGTAAATTGTGATTATCCAATAATGGAGATCTGGTGTTTCTTAGATTTGATTCTTCGCACTTCGGTAATAGAAAATCTTCAATATCATCAGCTCGAATCTGCAATGCATTGCTTGTCGAAATGATAATATTCAACGATACAAACCGACAGTTGTTCAAGAAACATTTGAAACACCATTTCGTTCAACAAAACAATCCACAACGAAGGTGGTACAACTGGGGTTCCTCATAAGAGGCGCTATACAAATCATCAAATACACCAACACACATATGTTGGTGGGAGATCATATTTCATACAGTTTTGTACATTATATATATCCATGAAATTCTAATTGCGACAGAATTTATACAATAATGGTATTGTATGAATTCTATCGATATATATATATGTATATATATATATATATATATATATATATATGTTGGAAGGAGACCATATTTGATATTGTGTTGTATGAATTCTACCGAATTGTTAACATAAATCAATTTAAAGTTTGTCTTACTAAATTTATTAATGCCAACAATTCGGTAGAATTCATACAATACTGCAGCGGTTCTCAACCTGTGGTCCGCGGACCACTTGTGGTCCGCAAGCAAAGTGTGAAGTGCAAGTTTTTTTTAAAATAAAAATATGAAAAAGATTCGTCTTCCGAGCATTACACCTCGTTGGGATAAGCTATGCTCTACTGTGCAAGCTCAAGGCTCACACTAAAATTAAACGTAGCAATATTTCTAATATATTTGGCACGTTAAAAAACCACCTGTTTATTATTATTCATTATTGTTAGCAAGTGACATTTGTTCATTGTTAAAGATGCAACTACAATTTGTTTCATATTTGACATAAAAATTGATATGCCAGATACACCGTGAGATACGGTGTATGCAAGCATCAATGTAAAACGAGCATTATACTTTTTAATTTGAAGTTAAAACATTTATTAAAATATATAATAAATAATTTTAAATAACAATTTTAATACACCTATAGTGAAGTGCCGGTAACTGTAGTTCTCTGAGTCTAATAGAACTATAGTAAGAACTATGTTATACTATGTGTAGCTGTTACGTCATTATATGAAATAATAATTATATATATATAAATTTCAAGTGTGCTAGTAGCCAACCCAGCCGTCCGTCCTTTCGAGGCTGGTAAATGGGTAGACGACGGAAGTTGTCGCATGTTGGCCGGCGAGATGGCTCAAGTGGTTCAAATGCGCGCAGAGTCTAACATCTCAATGGCTATCATATACTCAGCGTATATGATGCGGTGCTTGCGCGTGCACATAAATACATGGGTACGTCGTGTGAAAAGGATAAACAGCCTTTGTGGCAAAGATGGCTGCTTCAAATCTATGGTTGAAGAAATGAAGAACATAAAAGATATACAGATAATATACACACACACAATTGTGTGTGTGTGTGTTTGTGTGTGTGCGTGTGCATTAAAACATGATCATGTGCGAAAAGTTAATATACAATATACTTGTTGTGAATTTTAATGGTATTGTAATTTAGAATTTAGTGATGTAATTTAGAATAATCCAATGTTTTATATATTTTTCACCTTTATATAACTAAACTTATTAAAAGTCTCAAGCGCTAACTATTTTTTCTACATAAATTTCTTTAAATGACGCATTAAAATAAAAACCGATCCTAGCCAAATTGTTATCGACCAACCAGCGCTCTTTATTTGGACTCTTTTTATTTTTAGCAACCAATAGGAGTGAGACAGGGCTATTTAAATCGTTAAACAGCTACTTGGCACGAAATTTAAAAGTTTAGAGATTTGTTAGAGGAGATTTGGTGTTGAAGGCGGAATATTTTACGTGAATTTTATCTATTTGTTACAAAAATTTTTCATCAAAATTTTGAAATGGCGCTTGCTCGTTCCGTTGCAGTATGTTTATTATTTTTTTAAACATTTTTTACTTTTTTCACATTTTAGTTATAATTTTATATGAAAATGCAATATCTCCCGTCGTGGTGGCGCGGTGCTCTCATGGCGAATTTTGTTTGAAAATCGTGTTCTAAATTCTAAAAAATATGAATTGAATTTCTATTTCTGTAATAATGTGAATGGGTTGGCCTTGCAATTGCAACTGTTTGCGTTTGCTTTAGAAAATTTTTATTAGGAATTATATAAGAATTTTAAATTAATTTTTTAATTATTCAATTATTTAATAAATTAATTATTAATATAATAATGTTTTATTTTTTCAGAGTTATTTGTATCTTAGTATAATTTAGTTTTTGCTTTTTAATTTCATAAAATTATTTCTAATGTTTAATTTAATCATGATTCAGTTTAAAATTATTTTTTTAAATTTAGATTTTAGAGTTTGTTTTGTAACTATTTAAAATTAATTGACATAAAACCAATTAAATAGTGGTTTAAAAATGTGGTTAAAAATTGAAAAGCAGTATGCTAATATTTTCCATTGCATTTATTCATTTATATTTTTTATATAAATTAATTATTTAATAATAAATTATTTTATTTATTTAGTTATTTATTACAAAAATATATAAATATACCATATAACTAAATCATTGATCAATGAAACGATGATGATAAGCAACTGTGAGTTATATTGATAGTTGTAAATCAATATAACGCTTGATTTTTATGACGACAATTCACAGGGGCCATCTGAGTGAAATATTGATGTAATTCATTCATTCATTTGTTTGTTTTTATTGCTTTTAGTGGGATATATTCAAGTATTTTTCATTATCTCTTTTTCGTTTTTTATAGTAATTAAATTATTTTCCTAATTTACTGTAAATTTTAATGTTAATTTAATACAAAAACCAGCTTTGAAAGTTTGAAATTTAATATATTATTTGGTTACTACAGGTTTCTAATTTATTGAATGCCAAAGACAAAAAAAATGTTGGAAAGACTATTCATCGAGGAGCATTGGGGAACATTTCAAATGCACCAGTCAGTAAGGCAACTGAAGGAAAACAGTTGTCCAAGGTACCTACCTACCTACTAAGCAGTGAATTAAATTTACAAGTTAAAATTTCCAATTAAAATTCTATTTTTCTGTTTTAGCTCCCTCCTGTTAAGCATGAAAAGTTTGAAAAGATCGAAGAAGTTGAAAATAAAGCTGTTAGTTTGTTTTTCTGATTCTTATTTGTCCCTATATAATAGCAATTTTTTTTATTAATAGCCAATTATAGTTCAACCAACAGAAGAAATAAAAGAAATTATCTTGGTAAAATTACTTTTATTTACAAGTTTCGTGCAAAAAAATAACATACCATTTGTGTAATTTCAGGGACCCATAAATGATATCGACAAAGAGGATGAGGAGAATCCTCAGTTAATGAGTGAGTACGTAAAAGACATATACTGCTATATGAGAATTCTTGAAAGCAGATATATAATCAGGCCTGACTACTTGTCCCCACAAACGGAAGTAAATGGCAAAATGAGAGCCATATTAGTTGATTGGCTTGTTCAGGTTCATTTGCGATTCCATTTGCTACAAGAAACATTGTTCTTGTCAGTCGCCATTCTAGACAGATATCTACAGGTTGTTGATGCAATTCAATTCAATATTTATTGTATTGGTGAATTTAATAATTATTTGCAGCAAAATCAAGTGGCAAAGTCAAAATTACAACTGGTTGGAGTTACTTCGATGTGGATCGCCTCCAAGTATGAGGAAATGTATGCCCCAGAGGTGGCTGACTTTGTCTACATCACAGACAATGCATACACAAAATCAGAATTGAGACAAATGGAATGTACGATCATGAAGTCACTTGACTTCCAACTCGGCAGACCACTCCCTATTCATTTCCTTCGCAGATTCTCAAAAGCTGGAGAGGTAGCAACAATTTAATATCTACATTGTTTCTTTGTTCACGCTATATAAAATGAGCCCATTTTGATTTGTGTTTTTTATTTTCTCTTAAAAAATTTTTGAGTTGATTGTGTTTATATTTTTTTGTTTGCTCGTGCCTGAGATAAAACAAAAGGCATGGTTTTGTTTCATAAAGTTTCACTCACCTGTTTTTCAATTTCTTATTACTTAACAGGTTGAAGGTGAAACGCATAACTTGGCGAAATATTTTATGGAAATGATTCTTGTTGAATATGACATGGTGCACTATCCCCCGTCAAAAATTGCCGCAGCTGCTCTGCTTCTCTCAAAACTGACAATTGAAGGAACACCATGGGTCTGTTTTTTATTATAACTCTTGTTTTTATTTGATCCTTGATAAATAAATTTGTAAAAAATAACTTTACAGACAGCATCACTGGTTCATTACAGCACATACACCGAAGCAGACCTTTTACCTCTTGTGTATAAGCTTGCCAGTATTGTCATAAAAACCAATTCTGCTACAAAATTGGTGGCGGTCAAGAACAAATATGCCAGTAGCAAGTTTCTCCGCATCAGTAAATCAGAAAAGTTGAGCAGTCAGATTGTTACTTCGTTGGCTGTTAAGAACGGTAATCATTCATAATTGACTGATTAACCGTGTTGTATTTGTACCTGTATATATCAAGTCGTCTCTAATGTACATTTTTTGTGTAATTATCTTTGCATTGATAGCTGCTGACAGTTTTGTTCTGAATAAGTTATATTTCATTTATTGATGCCTTCTGATTGATCCAATAACACTTATTTAATAACAGATTAATCATCCCCAAGGATTTAATATTTTGTAATGGTTTTACGAATTTTTTAATCGCATTTTTAACTAGCCTGAAACAATTTTATAGACAGACAGTTAAATTAGTTCTAACTCTCAAGATTTTTGATAGTTTTATTTTTTCTGATATAATGCTTTTACAGGTATACATGTGTACAAATATGTATGTGTCTATAAATATGTGTCTGCATATGTCATAATGTGTATGTATTTATACACACGAGTGTATGTGTATACATGTACATACTTTATTATAACAATGTACTTTCTAGCATTGCATGCGTGTATACAAACTAGGATGGCACATCAGCGCCATGTTTAATGATGCATGATTTTATCTGCTAGATTATTTAAGCATTGTTTCTATTAAATTTTACTGTTTTATACTGGTTCATAGAAATTAGTTGAAATTTTCTGATGATGGCAAACAAACATACAACATTTGCTATTATATTGATGTGGTTTTGGTTGGTATGTTAATTTTATTTATGTTAAATAAACAATGCCTTAAACTAATGTTAATTATCAGACTACTTTGTGACTACTAAATAAATCAGAGAGTGATTGAGATTCCAATTCAATTGAGATCAAATTTCTTTTGTCATTTTTAAATATATCAAGTAAGTAACACGTGGTTGCAGTTAAAAATTATATTAACCCAAAAACCTACTCATAATAAGATACAGATCTAGATAACAAACGTATAACATTAACAAAATATGAAACAAAAAGGTTGCATGTGTTGTCGATTATTAGAGCGATAACTTAAATGCTGGTTCTAAGAAAAACAAAATGTGTAGCGTTGTTCTACACAGGGTTCACCGGTTTTTTTACAAAGCATGTCGCGCATTTATCGTATGGAACAGTATATTCGTGAAGCGTAACGAGACAACAACACACGTTTAGACGGCATTTTCCCCGAGATCGGGGGTTGCCGTTTGGCTACCTATGATGAAACCGAAATACCCCTCGACGCCATCCAAATCTGTCACTCGCCTCAGTATCACGCAACCCCGCTTTCACCCTGTCCTTCTCCACCTGCTCTCTCCATCCCAATCGCGGACGACCCCTTCCTACCACTCCTTCAACCTCGAACTCCAACGCTCGCCTAATCCCGACCCTTTCATCCCTTCTCAACACATGTCCATACCACCGCAATCTCGATCTCCTTATCAATGTCACAATGTCCTCATTCAGTCCCATCATTGACATCAGCTCTGTACTATTCCTCCTATCCTTCACTTTAACCCCACACATCATCCTCACCATAGCTCTTTCAGCCCTCTGCAGTACACTTTCCTCCTCTCTCCTCAACACCCAAGTTTCACCACCATATACCATCGCTGCTCTCACACATGCTTTATATACCCTCCCTTTCATCTTCACTGACCATTTCTTTCCACACAATACCCCACCTAGTTCCCTAAATTTCATCCATCCCACACTCATCCATCCCACACGAACTCTAGTCGTAGCTGCGCTCAAACATCCTCCATCCGCATTCAGCTTATCCCCTAAGTAAACAAAGCTTTCCACTCTTTCAATACCACCACTCAACCCCGTCCTTGCGTCCGTCCTATTAATCACACCATGAACACATTTCTTACATTTGAACGTGCCTTCCACCTTTTTCAGTGCCCCCCTCACACCACTACATCTCTTATGCACCCATTTCTGACATCCTATACACAATACCGAGTTAGCCTTCACTCTTCTGTCACATACCCCACAGGGGTCTATTTTACTTATCACTCGCTCCCCACTCACCATTACCTTTGTCTTACCAATATTAACTTTTAACCCTTTCTTTTCAATAACACTTTTCCATCTGTCAAATTTTAACTGCAATTCTTCCATGCTATCAGCCATCAAGACTAAATCATCTGCATACAAAATCTCAAATAACAACCCCTCCATTATGTTTCCACACACAACATCCATCACAATTGCAAACAGAAACGGTGATAACACTGATCCTTGATGCACTCCTACCTTAACACTAAAAACGTCCGACACCCCCCTTCCAACCCTCACCTTCGTCTTTGCCCCTTCATACAGCTGCATCACAGCTTTAACAAGTCTCTCATTCACTCTTTTTTTCCTCAACGCCCATTCAATGAAGCGGAACGAGAGATGTTATAATTTTATTTTCCAAAAAATTGTAAAATATATTGCTTGGATATGTTCTCTTGAACAGTCTGGAAGAATGTGGTAAATGTTCGATCGAAACAAAAAAAGCCATGTATAATATAAATAAACTGAGAAAAACGAATTGGATATGTTTAGACATCAAAACATGTAAACTGGACATGACCACAAATCTCTAAGATAATCGTTTACATTAACTTTTATTTCATGACATAACAAATAAAATACGTTGCTTGGTTCTTCTAGCGCTCTAGCTTACTTGACAAGCATCAGTCTGTCTGATATAATAAATTGATCCAATGAACTAATTTTATTGGTCAATCTATTTTTCAACTTGCAACTTCTAGCAGTGACTGACGATGACTAAATAATAATACTTTGGCTTATTAAAATTACATAAATAACAGGCGGCCTTGGAGACCAACAAAATTAACAACTTTAAAACCAAATAAAATAAAAAAGAAATGTCTTAACTAATTAAAGATTCAAAAAAGTCAACATGAAATACAATAAATTATGATTACAAAGTAATGCAAAATATTTAATGCTAAAATTAACGATTTATTTCCAATTACATACATATAGTCATGCATCATTAACCTGTTGATGATACAGATGTAAACAAAAACATGTTAAAGTTTGCTGTTCATAGGAAACAATCCGTTGCTAATATATGTATATGTATAAATATATATATATATACATATATATATGTATAATTGTTAAGAAATATCACTGTATTTTCAGCTTTGATCAGTTTCTACGAGTCATAACCCTAATTAACAGTTGGATTTGCTTTCTCAAATAATTTGGAGCATCGCCGGCCAGTGAATCTCTGACAAGGAGAGCAAATTTAAATATTACTCTTTCTGGCATAGATATATACACATATACATTATT